CGCTCGGCCATCGCCACAGTGGATTTCAGCACATTGTGTCACCCCAGCAGCAGGCCGGCCCCTGCCCGGCCCCCACGGCCACTCGGCCACCTCCTGTCGCCATGGCTCTGCCCGTCGGCGCCTTCTACAGAGGGGCTCACGTGATGCGTCCTCCGGGACGTGCGAGGTCCCGCCACGCTGCAGCGTGTCCAGCGCTGCGTCTCATGGCTGGATGGTGTCCCCCTGAGGAACGTACCGCGTTTCGTGTGTCCCTTCCTCCCCTGGTGGACATTTGGGTGGCGACTTTTTGGCTGTCATGAGTGACGCTACCGTGAACCTCTGTGTACGAAGTGTTTGTGTGGACGCGAGGCAATGATCTGATCTGCTGGCCTCACACGCGACGGGAACGCGAATTCGCACAGGGAACAGGGCCCTGAAAACGGAATCAAAGACCGCGGGACTTTCTCTCTCCTCCCGACTCCGTTAAAGGCACGAAGTTTCATAAAGCAGTAATCGTGACACCGCGTTCCCGTGTTCGTCAGGCGTATGGAGACGGAACGGTCCCCAAAGGAGAGGGGAGGAGACGAAGCTAAATTCAGCACCTGGAAGAAAATGCTCGCGAACGACGTGTTCACTAAGTGATTTGCATCCGGGACACACAGAGAACTCAGACGACCCGATGTTTAAAACAAGCGAAGGTTCCATAGACATTTCTGCAAAGAAGACACACACATGGCCGAGAAGCAGGTGAGACGCTCCACGTCGGTCATCAGGGCCCCGCACACACCTGCCCCCTAAAGCCACGGTGACGCCCTCGAGATTCGGGGAGCGGAACCCGCCCGCCGCTGCTGGGGACGCGCCGGTGCCACACTCGGCAGACCCGTCGGCAGCGCCTTTGACGTTACCCGTGTGACGGGCGAGTCCTCGCCGGAGAGCTAAGGAAAACGGAAACGCGCGGCACGTCCACACTCACTCGCAGGCGGCGACGTGGGCGCCACGGTCTCAAAGCCAGAAACGAGGCGCCCGCAGCTGGGGATGGATAAGCAAGCGCCTCGCGGTGGGAGTATGAACGTAAAATAAACGACTGGCATTTACATAAAAACGCTAGAAAAGGCAAATCTGCGGGGACCGAGAAGCAGCTCAGCGACTGCGTGGAGCCGAAGGCGGGACAGGCGCCCACGGCGGAGGCACGAGGGGCCCGTCGGGGTGCGGGGGGCTCCGGAGTGGACTGCGGGGCGGCTAACGGAAGGAAAGGCACTGGAAGCGTCTGCATGCTGTGGCGGGAGTGTTTCGAGGGTTGATGTCGTACCGTAAGCCATCAATAAAAGCATGTGATCACATGCGGTCGGGCCACCGCGTTCTGTGGACTCAGCCTCGACTGCCCACCTGGAAGCTTCACTGGACATCTCGGCTGCTGAGCCGAAGGCGTGTTCTGGCCCCCCGGGGTCTGTGGACCTGTCGTCTGGAGAAGACCGGGGAGGTGTGGGGCCTGCCTGACTCATCCGGGGCCAGCGAAGAACCTTGTCAACGAGTTACGATGGACAACACCACGGTCGCGTTCTGGTTCTGCTCCGATCTATTCGAAACATCGGTGATGTTTTACACATAGCTCGTTTAATATTCAGACAATCTTATAAGCTTGGTTTTCTTGTTCCTGTCAAACAGATTTTAAAACAACCCCAAACAGAGGTGATCTGAACACAAGCCGACTGCTTCCTGCTGGAGCGCACGCTGGGCAGAGACGGGAGACTCGGGGAGAGAACTGGCAACCTTCCCGATTTGGGACTTGGTGATGCTACCAAATGGCCTGAAGACTCTTCTTCCAACGGTCTGGGGGGCTAACGACAGTACGAAGGTCTCGAGGACGCCGCCCCTGGGTGGGCCCGCAGGCTCTGCGGGCGGATATCTCGGTGCGGGGTGGACGCCCGGCCGCCGGTGGCCTGTCTGCTTGGCCAGCTCAGCAGCAAAGGGCGCCGTTGACTGTCCGTGTGTCTCAGCGTTTCTGTGACCCCGACCTTCCTCGAGGCAAACTGGACCATGGACGATCAATCGAAATCTGTGTGTGCAACATCGCAACACCGAGTCCTTGGTGGAGGATGACAAAGGGGATCCTCTACACTAAGCCGCCCTCGGGCCCCGAGCTGCAACGGGGTCACCTGGGGGCCCTGTGGCCTTGACTCCAGACCCCTCCCCTCGGGGACCCTCCACCCCACCTCCCACAGGGCTGTTTCCAGGCCTGACATCATCACGGCCCTGTGGTCACACGGGAAGAGCCTGCACCCAACCCAGGGGCTGGCTGGCTTCCCCACGGGTCCTCAGCCCAACCCCCTTACCGGGGGGAGCCCCGGGCCCCCAGCACCTGGTCGGAACTGTGGAGACCCCCACCCCGCCTTTGCCCTGTGCTCTGCAGAGCTGGGCGGGGCACGGAGGGCCGGGGCCTCAGGGGACACCAGGGCACCTGACGCCTTGGCAGGACCCCGCTGCCCTCGGTGCCGGCTCAGCTCAGGCCACTGGGTCGCTCGCGGTAACAAAGCGCCATTCTACTGAGAGCTGTGGCCGCCTGGCCAGCAGCCACGTGAAGGCTGCCGGGCACCGCAGCTGTGCGGGACAGCAGGCTGCACCCGCCACCGATGCCCACTGGGCACTTTCCCAGCCCCCCCTTCTGAAAGGGAAGGTGGCTTCCTCCCCCTGCTTCCTCCCAGCGGGGGAGGGGAGGGGGGATGG